ATCATCAACTTCCCTAATTTATAAAGTAATAAACCGTTATCATCCGTATATGGTGTTTATATCCCCCAACTTATTCGATATTCAACAGTATGCTCTGAATACGATCAATTCTTAAGCTGAGGCAGGCTATTGACAGATATGTTGATGTTACAAGGATTTAAACAACCTTGTTTAAACTCTGTATTTCGTAAATTCTATGGTCGTTATAATGACCTTCTTAACAAATATTACCGTATTTTGGCTTTAGTGTGTTATACCATTTGTTAGCCTTTGTTTTTATACTTAATTCCAATACGGAATGTTTCGTCTACCTAGTCAATACATAGGGTTGACGGCGGGTGTGTCAGGTCGACAGGGGATGCTTAAACCTCATAGGTATTTGATTCCACCCATGGAATTTCCAGGGGACCGTGATCTATGCCCTGCTTACAGATTTGTAATGTTTGTGGGTTTTGTTGTTTTTTTTTTTAAATATGGATTACTGTTTTTTTTTTATCTTCACCCTTTTCATGTTTCATGCCAATTGTAAGGTCATTGTTTATATTCTAATTTATACTAAGTACTCGGTCTACCTGACAGATACATAGAGCTTAAGGCGGGGGTGACCGATCGAAAATGGATACTTTCTCCTTCTAGGCACTTATCTCACCTCTGGTGTTTCAAGGGTCCATGTTTTTGCCGTGTTCGCGATTTGTATTCTTCACTGGATTTATGATATTGGTCGCTTTTCGTTATCTGCAACATTTACATTTATAGGACGTCTTATAAACGTCATAAACAGACTTCTAAATTAAAAAAAGAGGTACAGGGGCAGGCTCAGAATTTCAGTTGGGGGCTGAGAAATATTTTTAGATGCCAGAACAAAATAACATATATAAAGGATTTTTCAAGTTAAAAGAAAACTTTTGCTGTTAAAATAATAAAGATGTGTTAAAAGGCATTGAAACTTAGTCTTAGTTGCCTTATTTCCTAAAACATCTTATTGAAGTACTAGTATTTCATACAAACAATATCTGATGATGTTTCACTAAAAATCGACGATCATCTTTTAACCTATGAATAATATCCTTCTTCTTCATGCTCAGAGCTTTTTGAAAAAAAATATTTCAGACAATTAAAGTTACTATAACAGTAATAAAATGTCTTCAAATATTTGGTATCAAGTAGACGATAACTGGCATATGTCTTGGAAATAGCCAATGGTTTAAACCACTTCTCCTGTATTATTGATTGTCTGAAATCAAGCATTATCAACGTCACGCTGATTATGCAAGAGTGCAAAATCCTATGTTTTATAATTTGATACTCTCCTAAGAGGACTAACTCTGAATGAAATAAATAATTATTCCTTTATAGATTTATCAAGTTGAATGGAATATGGACACAACGAGCATTATTCAAGCTCAAAGTCCATTTAAACAATACAAATCGGGAGCGAAGCAAACACGGAGCTCCAAAAACATTGAAGACTGGATCAGGTCCCATGGAGGAATGAGCATCCCCTGTCGATCAGTTACTCCCGCCGTGTGCTCATTGTCATGATCGGGAAAAACGGAAAAATCCATAGACAATTCAGTGTGTAAATAATGGCCTAACAATGAGTATGAAAAACGTCAGTCAGGATTTGACTCAATGATAGGTTGTATTTGCTGACAAGGAAATTAGAAATTGAAATAATGTTTTAGTCCAATTTTGCTCCCCCCCCCCCAGGTTATGCAAAAATCGTTTGTATTTTACTTTAAAATAAATTTCTTTTAGAAAACCATAAGCGTTAAAACAACATTTTATATGACTGAGCAGAGGGCTTAAGACCCTTAATCCTTTTCAATGTACTTTTTCATGCACATTTTAATTTCATTACAGTTTTCCTCCTAAATTAGAACCGATAAGTACACTAGTAACCCAATCTTTGTGCCAAAACCCGTGAAAATACTCAGCAGCAAGCACACAAAAACTCGACATTGCTTCATTTTTTTTTTAAATGTTGATACATAATTCTTATTTTGTAAAGAGTGCTTCGGTGGTTTTGCAAAAAGCCTTTGCCCTAAGACCCACCTCAGGAGTTTCATCTAAGTAATGTATTCTTGTGGTAAACATGATCTAATAATCATATCGCCTATGCTTTTGTGCTTGCTATAATGTAAAAAGGTAATGTAAAAGGTGAAGATAACGGAGTTATTAGTCTCATAAATCCATTAAACAAAATCAATCGTGAACAGTGCAAAATCACAGACGGGATCAGGAACCTAGGAGGAGTAAGCATCCCGACAGGTCACCCACGCCGTAAACCCTATGAATTGATCAGGGAGGGAGAATTCAGTAGTCAAATTTAGTATAAAAGCCAATGGCCAAACAAATGGTATAAAACATGTCAGACAAAATAACACCCAACGATAGATTGACAGGGCCATTATAACGACCGTAGAATTTTGCAAAAAGTTGACTTTAAATGGGGTCGTTGAAATCATTGTAACATCAACTTACTGTCAGTAGCTTGCCTCGGTATAAAGACTGAGCGTATTCCGAGCATGAAATTCATTCCAATCTCTTTATTCTCGGGTAACCTTTTGAAACCATATTTATTTTTCTTTCTTTTTTAGTGTTTCCATTTTATCTGCTCAAATTGTGTCTCTGTGGTTATTTACTATTATATAAATAATTGAATTGTAATTAAAAATGTAATAAAAATTGGTTTTGAGTGTCGGGCCCTGAACAAACGAGTTTGGAGACTGACATAATTTTTCTAAATTTGAAATTGAAAATAGCTATACCGATCTTTTGTATGATTTTGATTTAATAGCTTAGTTTACTCAATTTGGTCAAGAGGATCTGGAGGAAGAAAGAAATGACGATGTTTGTGATTAGCTAGAATTATATAAACTAAGAATGACGATATAACCTTTATGTATATTTTTTCCGTTAGATAACTCAAAATACACATGTCATGTCTTGTTTGATAAACTGCTAGTATCAAAAAACTTCCTCCTATCAAGTGTAGACATTTATCTAGAAAAAAATCGAAGGAGCACCAATTGCGCCCCGTTATTAGCAGACCTTTTCTAAGGCCCGTATTCATATGAAGCAGAATTTATTAAAAAACTTCTACATGAGTAGAATTAAACATTTGCTGTAGTCTTCAACTCGACATTTCGATATATTGAAGACGTATATCAATTAACAATAGTTACTTCCATTCATATGTCGACTCGATATATATACCAGTGAGCTTGAAGTTAAAGATACAACATAGTTTGACACATCTGTTTCATATTTAGAAATTTCACTAGGAAAAAAAGTGAATGGTAACCTAACAACAAAACTTTATGATAAACGTGGTGACTTCAACTTTTCAATCGTCAACTTCCCTTACTTATGTAGTAATATACCTTTATCACCTTCATACGGGCTTTATGTCTCTCTGTTGATTCGATACGCAAGAGCATGCTCTACGTATGAATAATTTCTAAAAGGAGGCAAGCTATTGACAAACAAGGTGATGAAACAAGGATATCAACAGTCTTGTTTTAAGTCATCATTTCGCAAGTTTTATGGTCGATACAATGACCTTGTCAGCACATACAACCTATCATTCAGTCAAATGCTGACTGACGTTTTTTCATACTAAACTGTCTACGGATTTTTCCGTTTTTTTTTTTTTGCGATCATGACAAGGAGCACACAGCGGGTGTGATCGGTCGACAGGGGATGTTCACTCCTCCATGGCACCTGGTCCCACCTCTAAATTGTGAGGTCCGTGTTTGCTCTGCTCCAAATTTGTATCGTGTCATTGGACTTTCGAAATTGAATACTGATTGTTATCTTCATATTTTATTTTATGTCATACCTTCTTTCTTTTAACATTCTTTTTTTATAATTTTGTTTTCAATTGTTTTCTCAATTTTTATTGTTATTTGCTTCCCATTATATTTTGAGTTAGCATACACTTTCAATTATATCTTTTCATTTTATAGTTTATCAAAATCAACTTTCTATCGAGACCTCAGGCAGTTCAATGAAATACTAGTATATGGAAATAACGAACAGTATTCAAGCTCAAAAGCTCAGTACTTCACATTGAACCAAACGTGTGGTATGGTTTTGGTCAGCAACGGTAAATTGAAAATATTCTTTATTTTTCAGAACAATTTTGTTCTGAATTGCAAGAAGTACAGAGATTAAGTTTATCACTGTAACAGCATTTTAAGTGGAAAAATGTAACATTACAGGAACAAGAAATGCTAAAACATTTTCCAATGCTGCCTTTGACATACCTACTCTGGATAAGTAATCAGGTTAAACATGTCCCTATATATTTTTTTTTATAGGTTGATAGAACTCGAATAAAAACAATTCAGCATTCTCTTAATTATGATTTGGATTCTGCATTTCATTGGTATTTTCTGGATGAATGATTAACAGGAAGTTTTGGTAGCAGACACATAATATCTTGACTATACGCTATAATTCAAGAATTTATTTTAAAAAAGACAATAAAGCAACATCCTTTACTTTTGATAAAGAAATTTATCAATTTAATTCAAACTTTCTGTAAGAAATGTATTCTGGAAAAGTACTGGCCTTAGGTTAAAAAAAAAAAAAACATAACTAACATACACTTCTTAAAACGACTGCAAATTCAATTATTTCACAGCATAAAACATGTATATAGTTAACTCATAAACTCTAGCATGTCCTTAAAGAACAGTACATAAGAATACAAATGTAAAGAAACTTAAAGTAGGAAAAATATTATGCAAATGGCAGAAAATATAAGGTGTACATTCATCCTGTACAAACATCAACAACGAACATTTTCAACAGTACTGAGCATACGTTAATGCTTAACCAATTATATATATATATATATATATATATATATATATATATATATATATATATATATATATATATATATATATATATATATATACTAAATTACATATATAAATTGTGATAAAAACATAATTCTTTCATTAGAAAAATAAAAATATTTTTAATAAAATATTTAAACTTGAAATGCTTTGTACAATCATTAAGAATTTTCAAAATATTCTGAGATCTAAGCATATTCTTTCAGATTAAAAAGATTGCATTTTGTACTATTTAGTATTTATGGACGTTTCAATAAAAGCAATATTGAATTGAACCTACAGTTAAAAAGATATCACACAGAGTTAATTATTTTTCAAAAACATGTAACTTCAATATAATGCAATTGAAATTTCTTGTTCTTCGGAATATTACAAAAGAATTTCATGGATATCCGAAGGTTTGATTTTTCACACCGGGCAGTTTGTGCGCACCATATTTATTCTGTGCTCTGGTTTGAGATCAACACCATGAGGGAGAACTTCATAGATACCACGGTCCTCATTGTAACAAACAATCATATCTAAAAACCAATCAAGAGAACAATAATAAATAACATTTTATACAATTTTACATCACTTGGCCTCTGATAAAGTGCACTGCATCAAAAAAATCTTTATTCTGAATAGAATTTGACAAAAAAAGTTATTCGTTAATTTTGTTGAAGATAATCAAAATGCATATTACATGTATATATGTACACTTGACGATTCTTATTAATGTTTGCCATGTGCTGAAAAGATGGAGACTTATAATCTGTTGATATTAACGTACACATCCCCTTCACTGGATACAGAATTTTACAAAAATAATTTATGTGAAATGTTATGGCAGGTGAAGATAATAATTAAATATCTTCTTTTCAAGAATAAGGAAGTTCTTGAAAAATTTTATTTGGTATGTACATTATTTTATTTCGCTTGTTTAGAGTATTCCAGAATCATTGTTGACAAACCCTCCTTTTCTTTACATTGTATTCCGTTTCAATATACAATTCCCTTCCTTAAAAAAATCAATCTTCCTGGATTCAAAAATATAGGAAAAATGATTGGCAAAAACAGGCTTGCAGAATATAGGGATTAAAAAGAGAAAAGGAAGAAGGAAATGTCGGCGGAATTCAGGATTTTAATTTATTTAGCTGCCGCGTGTACAATTATGTAAATCTGCTAGCAATGTACAGGGCAGCTCATCCTTTAAGGAATTAGAAGCGTTTGTTTAATCTCCATTTATGAAGTATGAACTTCCAATGATTCTGCATTGGAAGATAAGACAAGGACGGATATTGAACATTTTTCTGCGTTATTGAATTTGCTCAAATGATTTTAAATGAAGGTCATATCACACCTTAGGTCATCAGTAATCTTTTTGTGAAGTATGGACTTCCAGTACTTACCCATTAGAAATTTCTGGACAAATATCATATTATACACTTTTTATGCCTATGACCTCACACTTTTCCATGTGATCTTAGGTCAAGAATATGATACTATCTGGTTATAAGCAAATTTATGTTTATAAGGTATGGCCAGGATAGGAATTCTACATTATTATAAAAGTAACATTGAACTTGTTCAAATGACATTGAATTAAGGTAACTACACACCTTCAAATCATAAGCCATCTTTAAATATGAGTTTCCAACGTTTCTTTATTACAAGGGCATGGAATGGATGGACAGACAAAGTGATTCTTATATAACTCTTATCCCCCTTTTTCACGTACATCAACTTCGCTTCAGGGATATCAAAAAGAATCTAGTTGAAAATTCCCATGCAATTCCATACAAGGTTTACAAACAAAATCGGTGTATTATTTGCCCTTATCAGCGATTCAGAAAGTTTAAGAAGAACAACCAAGTGGCAGAGGTGGCAGTGGTAGAGCCTTAATCCTGGCTCAAAATTTTTTACACATTTTGACGCGAAATTCGAGGGAAAAGTTCTTGCATTTACCATTTCACAGTGTATTTCAGTTTTAACGCCCAACAAATGTCTAACTTCTACATGAATTGAAGGTTTCTTGCTATGGCCTTCAACATATAGATATATCAATTAACAATACTTATTTTCGTTCCTACATTGATTCGAGATATCCTTTTGAACTCGAAATAAAAAATGTCAGAGTGTGACACGTCTGTTTCATATTTGGATATTTAACTGTATGATATACGTGATGACTTCAGCATTCTTTTCTATCGTCAACTTCCCTTATTTATGTAGTTATATACCATTATCACCTGCATATGGAGTTTATGTCTCCCAGTTGATTCAATACGCAAGAACATGGTCTAGGTACGAACGATTTCTAAAACGAGGCAAGCTATTCAAAAATAAGTTGATGTAATAAGATTATCAACTGTCTCGTTTAGAATCAACATTTCGCAAATTCTATGTTTGGTACAATGACCTTGTAACTAAATACAACTATATCATCAAGTCGAATGTTGACAGACGTTACAAACTGTTAGGCCATATGCATTATTGTCACACTGAATAGTCTACAATTTTTTTTCCGTTTGCCCGACCATGACAAGGAGAATACGGTGGGTGTATTGGTCGACAGGGGATGCTTACTCCTCCATGACACTTGATCCCACCTCTGATCGACGTTTTTAGAGGTCCATGTGTCCTCTGCTCCAAATTTGTATTGTTTCAATGGACTATAGAGCTTGATTACTGTTCGTTATTTTCAGATTTCATTCTGTGATCTGAGAAATGTCGTCCTTATTTCTCAATGCTCACTGAAATAAGATTAAAAGACCATCTTTTCAGCTAAGATGATTTTTTTTTCATTTGTTTTCACTAAGAAATATTTATGGAACAAGGCAAAGGCAAATATCAACTCCTATAAGCTGCTTAAAGTATATTATCGTATTTATCTATTTATGATTAAAGCTTGAAGATAATTTACAATGAATAAATCGCATACAACAGAACTACCAAAGATCAACAAAAGTGTTGATACGGACAAAGGAACACATGAAAAGACATCACCAATCCAGTCCCTTGGTAAAGCTTGTGTCAACATTGCCAGAAAAAAGAACCAAGTGGTACAAATTACAAGTCCGAGCAATATGTATCGCTGCTATAGCAGCAATTACTTCATAACATGAAAGACGCGTGGTGTACAAAAATATGCAAAATACAAGTTTTTTTTAGAGTCGTATAAAGAAAACCAGTGTAATAAGAGGCAGTAGACCTAGTTCTTACTTTTTCGTCCGGAGAGTTTTAAAAGTACAAGGCCGCCTCTTTCCTCCTTTTGGAACAGGGTTAATCCTTTGTCCGATCCATCCTTCAATAATCCAAACAATTTTTTGTTACATTTTAGTGAATGTAAAATAATTAAAGTATCAAAGGTTACAATTACAAAGAAAAACTACCATCTTTCCTTTTTCATTAATCTTTTATGATTAGTAATAAGTACTTTTATTGTAAATTATTTTGCGAATAGAATACTTGTCATCGATTTTTTAAATAATACTATTGGTACTTAGTATTAGTTCAAGAATGTTATAATACAATTAAAATAAAATTATAAATAAGAATATAACTTTATAATATTTCAAAAAAAATTTATATTACAAAAATCACATCAAGAGTATTTCCTTACTTAGTATTGGGTCAATAATGTTATAATACAATTAAAATAACATTATAAATAACATTAGAATTCTATAATAGTTCAAAGAATTTATACAATATTACATATAAAATGTAAAATCATTTAAATATAGCATATATATCTGTACTTGTTATAGTTTAATATTCAAGGAGTAATATTTACAATTAAATCAAGAGCGTTTCCTTTCATGCCAAGATACTTAGATTTATCTTTCTGTGCTTGATATCTGTATTCAAGGCGAAAAGTTTCTTCATTCAGGACTCTCCTGACGATGAAATGACCTAATCATGAAAGGCTTTAATATTTCAAAAAATGATTATGTCTACTGATTTAGCGTTTAATAGAAAAATGCAACGTTTTGATAAATCAAACATCTAAATAATAATTGAAATTAAGATGCTTAGTTTTAAACACCGGTGATGTTTCTCCAGCTAGAGTGTGTTTAATTTTAGAAAATGAAAGAGATTCACTAAAGTGTTTTTTTTTTGTTTCAAAGGCATATTGCATGCTTTTTTTATGTTTGATATACCGCAATACATGTACATACAAAGTATTCTTTGTACGTAATATATATGGGAAATCTTTCATGACATTACATGTAGAAAAGAGAGAAAAAATGCCATACATCTACAGTCCTTTAAGAAATTAGAGACTGGACTGTATAGAAGGCGTCCTTTGTCAAGAAGAAGGAACTTTGATTGATTTGGAATCCTCAGAGCTTCAACACTAGGGGATAACTGACTCGCTGATGTCAGTTTGACACACTCTGTCTTCACCATAACTGAAACAGACAGTATATCATATCTGCCAAAATGTTACTGACTCTCTACGGGAATATATCGGGTAGATAAAAATCATAAACAGCCAGGCAAAGCCGAAACATCGATGAAATTGATCAATATATTTCCGTATATATAATACAACGTATGTATCTGGATTTAATGCTATATATGGCGTATCTGAGCTAAAAAAAAAAAAAAAAAAAAAAAAAAAAAAAAAAACAAGATTGAGTGTACTAGATAAACAAGATATATGTTATTTACATATCTAATTTTTTAAATTAAGATTTTCACCGATTTTGAACTTGAATAACTTCATGTTTCCATAGTTAAATTGACTTTAAACTGTGTCTATCATTTAAATGCGGAGTCGGTAAATAAATCGGTTATTGTTTTAAATTTCTAATATCTTTGAAACGTGATTGATTTAAATTGTGTAATTTACAGGTAAGTCCTATCTTTTTATAAAGTAATAAACAAATATAAAGATCATTTTAATTTTAGCAAGTCTAAACTTGAAAAAAATATGCCATATAAGACTTTAACTTGGAATTAAAAAATTCAACGGTGTATATGAGGTCGTTATGCATTCTTATTGATGAATGAAATAATGCTAAAACCTTTTACTTCAAAATAAAAAGGACACACGCCTCTTGTCAGTGGAAGAATGCACATTACTAGTTATTCTGTTTGAGATTTCTTTTTTCAATCTAATCACAGGCATTTCATACTTACGATCTTCTTTTGCTTCCCCTGCAAGAAAAATATATTTTCAATTCTGTCGCATCTACATGTACCCAATAACATTAACTAATAGTAATTGCATTTCGTTTACTTTAAGCAAAGTATAAATACATTAACATTTATTATATGATTGAATAATTTCTATCTCTCTGATTGGCTGAGGTCCAACAAAGTAAAAAAAAACTACTTTATATTCACCTGCACGTGACCTTCCAGGTAAATATAAGGATTTATTTTCTACATTGGTCCAAAAATAGATCTGGAAATTCCAAATTGATACAAATAGGTTTGGAAAGCTTTTTCACTTGCTACTGACTTCCATTCAGGTGAACATAACATTAGAAAATATATAATTTGGAGTGGAAATGGTTGTGGGGGTTGGGTGCAGGGGACCCCCGTCCACCTGCTAACCATTTTTAACGTAAATTTTTACTTTTAATTTAGGCTAAAAATATTCATTGAAAGATTGATCCCTCACTAATGGACCTTAATCTCTCACCCTCACCCCATCCCAACCCAAGAACAAAATTTAAAGCTAAAAGAATTCTCTTTTTATGGGGGCTAATCAAAGATTTCTTTTAGCTGTCATTTTCCCTGATAATGCCCCCCCCCCCTTCAAAATCTATACTTTAAAAGAGGCTGACATAATTTATTTTTTCATAGCAATTAAAGTAAATTTTAAAAATTCCAAATTAATACGACTGGTAATGTTTATTTAATCCCGCCTCTCTCATTGCATTTCGCTAGGACTTCTGCAAATTTAAACAAGTAAGATGGCATGAACTACTTAATGAATAATGAGTTCGTATCAATAAATTATTGAATCATATAATAAAACAATTATTGCTGTTTTTTCAGTCAATACGAAGTACAATATTGACCTCGCCCTTCGGGCTCGGTGAATATTGTACTCCTCAGGTGGCTAAAACATCATATTGACCTCAAAACAGCTATAAATAATTGTATAACATTTAAAAAAATTAACATTATTATTCAAATTTTCTTGAAATTTCACTGGGACAAAGGCTTAAATAAAATTATCTGTTTCGAAACGCAAAAATGTTTGTGTTGTTAAATCATACCTTGTTTGACTCCTTCAAGTTCAAATTCTATTGTTGTAAATAGTTTTGTTTTCCTGTTATAAAATACCTGGGGGAAAAATAAAGAGCTTAATTCAAGTTATACTAATTATTAAGTCTGTTATAGTGAACCTCCTTCGCAAGATATATATATATATATATATATATATATATATATATATATATATATATATATATATATATATATATATATATATATATATATATAAAAGATCGAGAACAGCATTATTTAGCCTTATTCTTGATTTAATAAAATACAGGACTGATGTTATACCTCAACGCACTAATTTGAATAAACTGTATTTTCACTTCTGCTGATACTCCTCTTTAAGGAAATTGGTGAAATGAGAAATTAACTTATGTCCAATTTCAATTTTGAATTTGAAAAAAAAATAATGTACCATAGTGATTGGTTTTCCTATTGGCAAAGTCCTAAATAATTCCAGAACTTCCTCATGGCAAAGAGATGGGGATTCCAACAGTTGTGCAGAATTAAGACTTACAAGAATATCTTTTTCTCTATAAAAGATTTTTTGAAATACTCATAGAAAAATAATAGATACATAAATAAACGTTTTTGCCAATAAACATTTAATAATTGAAATATAAAAGACTTTACATCACATGTAATGTATGGTTCCTGTCTTTAAATACTAGGGTAATAGGATAAGCAACGTCTGGGAGAGGGTAAGGAAGCTAAGCCAAACCCTCTTTTTATTTTCTCTCCTTATTTTCTACCCATGCCCAAATACTGCTTCTGTTTCAAGACAGTTATCTTGTTTTTGATTATCCTGCAACATATATAGTTTTACATTTGACCTCCAAAATGAGCTATGTTACATCTCTGTTTTTGATATTTTGACATCATGGCGTAAACAATGCAAAAGAGATGTCCTCACAATGCTTTTAAAGACGTCAAAATGCACGAAGCTATATTTTCGCACTGATCGAATATAGTTTTAGTTTATTGAGTTGCCTTTATTCGATCAGTTGAAGCGGTGGTTGCAGGATATTTCGCAGAATACAGTATAATACGAGAGTTGATCAACCAACATACAAAAAAAAAACTATCCCAGGAATTAAAGAAATGAAATACTTAAGAGTAATCTCAAACGTACTTCACATAAAGGGATTTTGCAAGAATACCATTCTCGTCTAAGGTACAAAATGCGTGAATATTCGTTCCATCTTTCCGGGAGGTAGAACAAAGAAATCCCCCTAAAGGATCTCCATCAACAGTGTCCTGGCGTTGGTGCCTCACAACGATTTCAGATACCAGCAGCGTCTCATCAAGCTGAAAAGGTGATAGAGAGGACTCGGTGACTGTTTTCATGAAATTTGAAATGCCTCTCAGAATCTTCAAATTAGTGTCATATGTTGATATACATGTAGTTTCAAAATTGACACTTTATCTGTAAAGTAGTCTTAAAATTTCCCAAGTGATTCAGTATGAAATAATTTTAAATTTCAGATAATTTAAAAAATGAATTGGTAAATCTTTCTGGTAAAAGGGTTTCTTTGATGCTTCTAAAAATTATATATGCACTGCAGATTCCTACGTATTTGTGGATCATGTACTTTCCACACTTTGAAATGATCATTATATTTTTTTTTCAATGATTGTATAGTATCCAATATTTATTTTTATATTGGGATCGGTATTGTCGATCTTTTACCTCGGAACTTGTTCGAGTGTTAATTCGCTGAATACATTTTATCATTTTGTTTTCCGTACTGTTGTCGTTTGGGGTGTACGGACTGTTTGGGACGTCAGTTGATGGAGGATTGTCCGTGACGTCAGTTGATGGAGGATTGTCCGTGATATCAGTTGACGGAGGACTGTTTTCTCTGAATCTGCTGCTGTTCTATAATTTAAGAAAAACAAAATATTATATGAAAACTGTACGACATCCAACCTTTTGTGATCAGTTGTGATTAGTACTCAAGAGGTTATTTGTTTTCGATAACTGAGCATTGCTTTTAGAAACTGTATTTTTACTTCATTAGTTTCTAAAAAAAATTAATTATTGTGCCTTATTCTAAATGCATATACATTTATTTATTTATTTTGTTTACTTAAGCTTGTCAGTATACGAGTTTTATGCAATAAAAAGATACTTACGCGATAAAATCTGATGCACATGTGATAAAATGTGTATAAACTGATAGTCTTTTTTTCAACAAGTATGATAAAAATCTCAGCGTATGAAATATGTCTAATAATGGATTTTATTATAATTTTTGACACCCTGTTTCATGCTTGGATGCCGAGGATAGTCAAAGAATGTAATTCATCGACTAATTCTTGCAGAAGGGATGAATTCAAAAGTTACCCGTGTTTAACAAACATTTCTTGCGTTAGGGTAGATTGCGCTTTATAACCACTGAGTAGCAAATCAGTGCTACTATATTCTGATCAGAAACTTCTGCACTACTGTACAGTATATACATATTATTCATTCAAATGTACTTTAAAAATTAGAAATAAGCAATATTAGCATCATTTTGATTTTCCTCATATTTAGTGCTTTCTTTATATTAAATGGCTAACTGCTCAAATCAATTTGCATTGGGAATCCTTGATTTTTTTTTTTTTCGTAATGAACAATTTTCCTAAATGAATAAAATCAGATTAATCAAAGAAATTTCAAAAAAAATAAATAAATGAATAAATAAATAAATAAATAAAAATAAAAAATATCCACGCACTACAAAAATGCATCTTCTGGCCTTTACAAGAGGAATAAGACCATCCACGTCATCATACCCATTCGGGTTTCCTAGGCCGTCTACGTCATCAAAACCATTTGGTTCTCCTAGAGTACACATCTACAGAACAAGGTGCCCTTTGTAAGTATGATCAAACATAAGCACTCCACAGCACTTAAAGTAATTTTTTGTGATTTCTAAATAAAACTCTTCTCTTAGTTTCATATCTAACTTGCAGTTTTATACCAATTTTATTATCTTTCTATTGTTAAAAATATATCTATTATAATTTGCAAATGTTTGATTGACCTAAAAATTATAAAGGCAACAAATAATACATTCCCTGTCATGATTAATTGTTCCTGATAAATGACTAAAATTTTGCTTTCAGATGTTTAGTCAGATTTATCGAAAGCCTTCCATCAAAAGGAAATTTTAAATTTTGAAAGTTCATTCTAGTGGCAACTCATACAAAACACTTTCCATCAGAAGTTTAAGTGATCATCACTTAAGCCCTATTTCTGTGGTCGATGCCTAAGATAATAAAGAATAATGTGGTTGTCACATGATGGTCCTCAAACTTAAACAATATCTTGTTTGTGATGCAGTTGTACCAGTTAAGAAATGACAAAGCAGTTTATAGAGTGTTGTGGTATATGAGTATACACTTTCTTTTTTTTATGAAAATAACAAGTTAACCTTGCATAAAAATTGTACTAGTGAATGACTGGCTTTAACTCACTCTCTTATTAGAAATTGGGATGATCAATTCCGTGTTAATAACTGATTTTGAAATGTAACATACTCAGTATAATGAATCAAAACATTAAAAATGCATACCAACTATATTACGACAACACAGTTTTTGTCGTGCTTTTGAAATCTGATACTTTTTTGTATACAACCTCAAATTAATCTTGCATTAAAAAAGACACTTGTATATGATTCGTGTCATTTTTCTCTTCGATTAACGGAAACTGGCACTCATAACGTGATCTAACCTTTAATGTTTGTCTAGACTGTTTTGACATTATGATTATGAAACTAGCAATAGGGATTAACACTTCCATGTCTAATGTTTACCAGTGAGTGATTGTTAAATGTAATGACGCAAAAAATGCAAATATAATTTGAAAAAAAAAAAACAAAACATAATAGTCTTCCTGCATATCAAATATTATTCATCCATCGGAACAAATGCCTTTTTTATCAGTTATTTTAAAAGCCACCTGCAATCTACATGTATCTGAATAAGCAGATTCCAGAATTTCTGAAAGTATGTTTTTATTTCAAATTAGGATATGATAAAAGATTTAATACTTTAATGGCGGAGTGGAATTCGACCACTGATTTTACATGAACAAAACTATTTTACTAATTAACAATTAACATATGTACTAACTGGCATATGTTAATTGTTAATTAGTAGAAGTTCTTTCTTTATGTACTTCTAAATTACCCAGATTTAGATGTGATAATAATTGTTACTGTCATTCTATAAAGAAGCAGGCTATTCAAAACCGCTATATCAATTTCAGTAACTGAAAGTTTGTCTTTATTAGACACAAACGACATGATCATACATGTATACCATATATAGGAAATGACAGAGAAAGAGCTAGGTTCACTTTATGCATAAAATGGCCCTGTTCATATTTCAATTAATGCATTAATTAATTTTGTAGAAAACAGGCGTATTTGACTACCTTCAGCAAAGATTTTAAATATGAGCACAACCCTCGATTCAAAACTTATAACATGTTTTATAATCTTCAGAAACAGATCTTTCATTATATAATTGCACATATTGGATCAGAGGTAGTGCTCTATGTGAAATATTGAAAAAAATACTTCAACTTTTGGTCATTTTAACGGAATTTACAGGATATGGTAAAAATGACGCATTTCATGACGTCATAATGCATTGACTTGAGAGAAAATAACGTCATGTTCAATAGATACACGGTCACCAAGGGTCCAAGTGATAAATACTGCATTGTCAACCAAAACTGAGCAGTTTCGATTTTCCAGAAATTCACAGGGCCAAAAAAAAAGGCCCTAAGTGGCTTTTGCTAGAAAAAGAATTATAAACAGTGACTTGCCTCAAAATACTAGTCCTCTAATAAAAAGCGTTGATCTCGTTCTTCTGAGAGTATGATATAATCACAGGTTTGTACCATGCACTGAATGAATGGAGAAAGTTGATAACATATCAAGTAATAGTCAACTCCCCGCCAGAAATAGTGTGCAGTTACACTTCAGGAAGAAAGATGAGCGTGATTTTTTGTTTCCTTTTATTATTTTCGTGCAATTTTTATTAATGAACAATCTTGAAAATGAGGAGTGATTCCAAAGAGGAATTTTCCTCTAGAAAACCCAAGAACATGTAGGAAGAACCACAGGCACTTGTTTCTGTAAAGAAAGTTCACCAATAATTTACTAAAACTATGGGGGATAGGGTGGGTGGGCGAACTTTCAAATATCTGTATGAAGAGCTCCATTCAGAGGTTTTAATCATAAAATCAAATATGAAGATAACGAACAGTAATCAAGCTCAAAAATCTATTAAAACAAGGATAATTTGGAGCAGAGCAAACACGGATCTCTAAAACATCAGAGGTGGGATCAGGTGTCACGGAGAAGTAAGCATCCCTTTTATATCGGCCACACTCGCCGTGTGCTGCTTGTCATAAAAATCCGCAGACATTCGGTGAGAGAATAATGGCCTATAACAATTTGTATGAATTTTTTTTAGATACATGTAATTCTTCCGAATCAACATGATCTTAACAAAGACATAAACAAGTCTTCACTACTAACAAATACTTTAACATTCATGTAATAAGGACTTTAGAGATAAATAAGACAACATTTATAGCTCTTTGAATACATTAGATGACACAAAGAAATAACAAATTAAAGAGGAATTGATCAAAACACTCGTTTCATTATTGATTAGTAAATAAGACATCATTATTAGAGCTAGTAAATAGACATCAGTACCTGAACTAGTCTATAATTAGTAAATAAACATAGTACCTGAATAGTGCAGCTCAAAAAACTTTTAACCTCACATGATTTTGTGAACTAAATAATTACACATATTTTGGAATAAATTTGTTGCTACTTAACAAAAGTGCAAACTAATCAATGATAAACTTCACAATTTTATTAAGTTTTTATATTTATAAATTAATATGTTTACATTTGCTGCGTTTTTCTACTTAACCAACATTGAAATTGATTTGAATGCCATTTTCGTGTATACTAACGCGTACAAAATATAAACGGAGAAACTCGCGCTAGATTGACGTCACAATGAGGCTACGGAGACGTTTCAAATATAACAATATAGGGCAGCAAGAAATTCAAACATTGAGTAAATTTTTCGTGCTTTTTAACATATAAAATGTAAATACAAGGTTTTTTAAAAGTTTAATGTGAATTATTGGTGGGTAAATCAAACAGACTTGCATGTGGGCATTTCCTTCGTGAAGGTTTAGAGCCCTTCATAAAATATGCCTTCGTGGCAAATCTGTGTGATTTACACATCAATAATTCGCATAAAACTTAAAAACATCCGTAATAGTTTGCAGAACTTACTTGCAACACTTTTGCATGATTAATAACCTTTAATGGAATTAGGCATGTTATGAATTAAGTTTTTATTGATACTTTTTTGGAATTGAGCGCCCTTCTCGCTATCTGGAGTGTTTTCATCATATCGTTTATAAATTGTTGGCATGTTTTGAGTTAAGTCCGGTCTTCTTTTAATGACTCCAAATGTTTCATTTAGGGTTGAATCTGGAATGTTTCAAGACAACAAAGGTACATTTCGACTGAGAAACTCTCTTGTGCTTTTTGAGATATGTGGCATTCTGCTAAATAATAAATACAAATCGTTTTCAGCGAAATATCAAACAACATGATACTAACATCTTATAGCATCTTCTGAAGCGCACAAGAGAGTGTCTAAAACAAAATCCACCGGTTACGGTAGCCTAGTGGAAGGACGTTCGCTTTGTGGTCGGGAGGATCGGCTTCTATTCTCGTTCGTCGTACGTCAAACCTAAGACGTAAACATAGGTAGTGACTATATATGCCTTCGCCAAGCGCCCGGCATGTCAAGTGAAAGTCATGGGTCTTTCGGACGTGACACAGTAGGCGTTGGCACGATAAAAAAAAACCTCACTGCAAAATGCCCTGACTGCAGAGCATAGGCTTTCACCGGCATACTCTGACATCTCTATAAAAGTGAAAAATTCTCGAATGGGACGTTAAACAACATACTTTCAATCAGCCAAACGAAGTGCGTTTACGATAAAAAGTTATTCGAAAACATTTAAGGTATAATTTAGAGTGGAATAAGAGGATTTGGTGAAAACATGACAACAGCTAAAAAAGACATTGGGAAAATACTTTAGAAGGAATGAAATTCAATTACCAAAATGCTCATATCAAATCTAGTGACATTAAGATATAATTTGTGTAAGATATAATTCGAGTAACTATAGATGTTAGGAAAAAATATATCAATCATGAATTTGACGAATATAGTGAAATTGCTAACAATTCATCAAATCTTTTGTTTGTGGTATTGTTAAGTAGCAATATTTTTATTCAATTCCATAATGTGTATCTAATTAGTTCACAAACGTATGTATGTAAAGTTACAAAATAGAACTGCAAATGATAAGTAAAAAAAATCAGTTACTGAGCTAGTATATGATTAGTAAATTAACATTAGAACCTGAATTAGTATATGTTAGTAAATAAAAATCAAAACCTGAGCTATAATAGTATATGTAAGTAAATAAAAATTAGTACCTGAGTAAGTAACTATATATTAGTAAATAAAATATCAGTACCTGGGATATTTGATCTTAAAGACCCCTACCCTACCAGATCTCAGCAATTGCATAAATTGTTACATGTATGACAAAATTAATGTGAAAGACAAAAAAAATTAAATCCTCTTAAAAATATTTAAAAATTTAAAATTCTTTGGGCATGAACATGTATTTTCTTCTTTTTGCTTTCTAGGTATTCGTTTACACCCCAACCCTCAATTATAATAATGAGCTTTATTTTTAAGTTGACAGGTGTATATAACATGAAACATAAGCTCTAAAGAGCTTTTGACCGACATGGAATAAAAAAAGGCCTGGGAGTTATTATTTACATTGTTGTACTCTATATCATATGCATATACACGATCCGTGTCCTATATATGTAGTCAATGTTTTCAAAGAAGGCTGAAATGATGGGAGCAAGTAAAAATATTCATAAGAAAATAGAAAGTGTAATGAAGCCTTTGGCTGTTTAATTTTGTTTATGTTTTAGTGGTAGAATTAAAACTGGAATTTTTTTGAAACAGTCTTGCAATTGCAACGGTGGCAGTCTTCATGGATTTGCCTTTCCTAAGTCTGACAGAGAGTAGAGTGATCTTGCGTTATATCAATATACCGATAATGAAATTAAAATCAGCAGCACCAGTCTTGTATTAGAAAGGCTAGCAACACTTTTAATATGAGGTTACATTCACGATTAGGTTTATATTATGACTAAAACTAGGAAAATTTTCGAAAATGTTCGACAACAGGATTATTTGAAGTGCAATGGCACATTTGTAATCTTTTGAGAAATTGAAAGGCGCATCCTAAATGTAAGTTTTGCCTATCTACTTTTCCAAATATGTTATTTAACATGCATCCCTCCAAATATCCTATTGCTTCCAGGATTTTGTCTTATACGGATTTATTTGCAATCCCCCCAAATATCCAATTGTTTCCATGAAAATCTCATTTACAAAAAAAAAATCAAAACATATAGAAAACAACTTTTCTACTACATGCAGATTAAAATGTATACCAATGTAAATTCCGGTGTTTAGCACAGAATTTCTCCCCCGGAAAAATATGAGCCCAGTTAAGGTCTTCCCCATGAATGGAGCGGGGAAAGAACAACTCAGTATATTATTTCCTCCCATATAAAAAGGCAGTTTCCGAATTATATCAATGCATCTTCCAATCAAATCGTGCCTGTTTTATCTTTTATCTTAAACATTTGAGATTATGATCTTTGAAAATTGCTGAGTCAAATGCTTCTAGTGATCGAGCTTATCTGATCATAGTATAATTGCTGTCAACATCGTCTTTCTTTATGTTACGTCGTTCTTTTTATCTTCCTCTCTAAAACTCAAGGGTTATTTTCAATCAAAATCCTTGCATTGATCATCCAACCTTCCAATAAGGTAAATTTTATCAAGAAAATGCAAAAATAGTGTTCTCAAAAGCCACTGTACCAGAAAAGATTAAATTCAATTGAAAGCTTCCTCATATTGTGAAGTTTGTTTAAACCACTCCCCTTCGGGAGGGAAGGGGTAGGGTGGGCCTCTATTGGGGACAAGAGTTTCAAATCTTATTGAAATCTTTTCTAGAGTAGTTTGGCCATATAAAATCATTAATATGCTAAAATTTCCTACCTGTTTAGATTCAGTTATGTTTATATTTTATGGTCACTGGAGTTAGATTAGTCTTAAGTGGGGAAGCAAATTTTAAAGCCCTTAAAAACTCTCCTTTTCAAGAACAGCAAAACCGTTTTAGTAATACACATCCACATGCTGTGTGAATTCAAATTCAATTAAATCACTCCTTATTAAGACTAGGGTGATCAATGTATTTCCTTAAGTGGCAAAAGCCATTAATGCAAGAATTTATCTTTATATATTTACATTTGCAAATGTTTTCTTTTATATAACACTATTAAAAGCAACGCGTATCTATATCCGTATAAACACGGGTTCCTCGTGTCATAAACGTTTGACGTAATTTCTCAGTGACGTCATAAAGGGTCTACGCGCAATCAGTGGATCAAACACGTGCCGTTAGGTTTGAAAAATAAAACGTTTCACGCGCTAAGGAATATTCTTCAGGCAAATGTAAACTATGAATAAGTCACAAATGTAAATAAGTAATAACGTATCATTTTAAAACATCAATCGGGATATAAATACGGGTTGGTACGAGATCAAATTTACCATAAAGCCCTTCGGGCTTTATGGAATTTGATCTCGTGACCAACCCGTATTTATATCCCGATAGATGTTTAAAAATGATACCTTATTTCTTAAATGTGTTCAGTCAAAAGTAAATTCCCGCTAGATTTTCAACTCAGTTAGTCAAGTTGTTCAATTGTTAAAATGAAAAGACTAATATGATCTTTTAAATTCCTAAAATCGCGCTATAAAGGACTTTTATTCGAATATTGGATGTTTGTTTTAAATAGTGTAAAACCTGAAAAGGAAATGTTTCGAAAATTTTGACAAAAGAATTTGTAATGGCTCATGTTGTTTATTCTCTTTTGACAAATGGAAAGGCACATCCAACACGTATGCTATGTCTGTCCAATTCTCGAAAGAGACTAATGTTATCTTACATGGATTGATTTGCTATCCCCCCAAATATCCAGTTGCATGTTTACAGGAGAATCTCATTTACAGAAATTAGACATTTTCTTTTCTCCTACATTAAAAGAAATATAAGAAATGTCATTCCCGGGACACGTGTGTCACAGTGGGAAAACTTCCTTTCTCCCTTCAGAACTTCATAACTTAAGAGCTTCCGGAGACTGATTTAGTAAACCTACCTCAACGCCCCCCCCCCCTGGAACATCAAAATATTATTGAAAAATACAAGTATTATTATATCTAAACGTATACAACGAGTACTTACCTTTTTGACTTCCCAACTTGAAGACGGTCTTGAAATGAAATGCGTTGTTGTCTTTTCCTTCCTGTTTACATATAGACAGATTGCAGTCCACTTATTACATACTTATACTATAGTATTTATGAATGGCAACAGACCGGATTTAGTACTTACCGGTAAACCTAATGTAGGTTACTTCCTCCTAGTGCTTCTCTAAGCCACATTTCTACGTGACTTTCTGAGTATGTCTTGATATTTTGTTGACATGTTCGTCCTTTAGGAATAAATGTCTAACTTTCTGCTTTCTGTTCTACGTATTTGCTTTTGTTTTTGTTTTTTAATTGTGAATCTGGTCTGTGAGGTGATAACCAATATAGGAGCCTGAGATAGTTTGCATATATCTATGCCGAAGCCATTTATATATGGAAGATGTATCATGATATGGAGAGTTTTAATAGCCATGCGTTCTGCTGTAATGACAACCTCATAGGGACACAACAAAGAGTTCAGAGGTCTGGCAAAGTGCAAAATGTTTGTGAAGGTTTTACGGTTTTTTATAATGGACAAAACATTTGCAGATTTAAACATACCAAGAAATGTATCAGAAATATTTATCCTTCGTGTTGTTAAAAATTAAAATCTAAAATGGCAGACTTCGATATATCAATAGCTTTTCATTTATTTCGTAGAGGGTATCAGTGTACTAAGTGAAAAAAGGTGAAGATCACGAAAGTGGTAGATCTCAAAAACCCTACAAACAATGCAAATGTGTAAAAAAAAAAAAAAAAAAAAAAAAAAAAAAAAAAAAAAAAAAAAAGGGCATAAAACACGGACCTCCAGAGGTAGGATCAGGTGCCAAGAAGGAGGAAGCATCCTCTGTCGGCTGGTCACACCCGCCGTGAGCCCTATGTATTAATCAGGTAGATGGAATAATCAAATTTGGTATAAAAAACAATGGTCTAACAATTGGTGTGAAAAATGTCAGTCAAATTACAACCCAATTGCTAACAAGGTCATTACAGCGACCATAGAATTTACAAAATACTGACTTTAAACATTGTTGTTGAAATCTATGTAACATCAACTTATTTGCCAATAGCCTGCCTCAGTTTAAAAATGGTTCGTACTCAGAACATGTTCTTGTGTCGAATAAGTTGGGAGACATAAACACCATGTAAAGATGATAGTGGAATATTACTAAATGAATAAGGAAAGTTTACGATGGAAAATCTGAAGTCGTCTCGTTTGTACAGATTAGTCGTGGATAACTCTGCGGTGTCTTTTATTTCGAGGACACAATGGTATACGGAGTCGACATATGACTGGAAATAACAACTGTTAATAGATGTCGATGCATCTTAATGTCGAGTTGAATGCAACAGCAAGAGTTTTTCTCTTCTCGTTAAATTGATTAATTGATTGATTAATTAATTGATTAATTGATTGATTGTATGTTGTTTTACGTCCCGTTGGAGAAGTTTTAATCATATAGGGACGTCATAGACCTGTGAAGGGCTTCAAATTTAGACCTTTACTCGGCACTAAGGGCCATTGAGCAGTGAGGGATCTGTATCGTGCCAACGGCTGTCGTGACAAGGGGCCTCGGTTTTTAATTTCTCTTCCAAAAAACCCGCAACTTTCACTTCAAAGTGCCGCACTTGGCGAAGGAATAGTAGTTACCCATTTTTATTGACTTATGACAGTCGCGTCCTGGGTTTGAACACACGACCTTCTGATCACGGAGCGAGCGCTATATCGACTGAGCTACTGTGACGGCTTCTTCTCATTAGAAGTTTTCAAATAAAAATCTGCTTCATAGGAAAATAAAAACAGGTCGGCTAATACAACAACACAATTAATGCCCATCGCAATTCCAACAGATTGTTAGAAGACCCGTTCTTCAAAGATTTCATAGATGTCAATGAGAAACTCCAGCATCCCATCCTTATGATATCAACCTCAGAGTATTTATCTGTAAAATCAGAATGATTTTAAATTACTTTGTAAATGACCAACCACATGAATATTTCCGAGTTCCATTTTTATTGAAGAAGTAGTTGTTTATGATATAAGATAAGCTTAGTCTTTGATATACATGTACTGTGAGTAATGGTTATATATAGTGTAGAAAAGTCATACGTTTTGATGTTACTGACTTTTGAATAAAGAAAGGTGATTTTAAATTTTCTAAAGTTCGAATTCACATTTGATTTACATCACTTCTCAAATATGCCGTAGCACATGACTCCTAAAGTCCTTCCTTTATAGCAGTTAATATTTTTGTGAGGACTAAAGATAGGGGGTTGTAGGGCACTTTTTGAACCCTTCAATGTATCTTTGTGAGGATTGTTATGACGTTTAAGAATCCAGTATAGGTAGGGTAATTCGAGATCACTTTCGTTGACTGGAATGTAAAAGACTTAGTATTAAAGACTGAAATGTATTTTGAAAAAAAAAAATCACCCTTAGAGAGTTAACTGGTATAAGTTGGATTTCCAGTTCCAAGTTCATCAATAATACAGCAGTTGTAACAATGAGTTTTACACATAAAGTGGTGTTGTTACTAGCCTTGTCTGTTCACTTAGTCTAATTCTTCTATCACTTCCGATTTATGGAAAACGGAAGGATAGTTGGTTTGCACATGGCCTTTTGACTTTCTAACACAAATCTTTAATATATTTTTAAAACACTGAATCCATATTGACAAAACGTCCAGGTCCCCCCCCCCCCTTTCAAAAAAGAAAAAAAAATGTTCTGTGACCATTTTAAACATCAGGGCCCCCTGTATTTAGGACTTTAAAAAAAATGATTGATTTTATCTCGATATTTTCAACTATATTAAAATCCTCAGTAATGACGTGTCCAGTGGGACAGAAAGATGAGTAAGAACAAGTACACATAAGAGGATTTTGTTTTAAATGTTCAATATCTAGGCACTGTAAGGTTTTTTTTATAATTCAAAATTTTGAAAGCAACAGCTGGGGGGAATCTGTAGGATATGCTAGGTGTAGACCTTAACTGACTTTTTTTATGATTAAGAATGTTATTAATGTTCAGGGCACCTTTCCCTTTGTGGACATATTTTTAAAAGTTTAGATTGGAATTATTACCTTCCAACACACGTAGTGACTTGAAGAGCCTATGTTGGGCAGCATCCATAATCACAAACATTAGATTGTATTCTGCAGTTAAAGAATCCATGCAAGTGTGGACTTACTTTAGCTTTTTCAAGTAGTCTATACAAAGATTTCAAGGGAACCGAGTAAAGTTCAGTGCAGATATGTGATGAAGATTTAATTAGTTAATTACTTAACTGACGTAAGGTATAAAAGCGAATCAAAGGAGACATCAAGTATTTGGTTTATTGTATGATCAATGCCCATGACTACGCCTATTTCTTGGTGTATTGTTAAAAAGTCTCATCACATTCACACTGGCTCATTGTGAGCTTGAAAGAGTCCCTATTACAATAGCTAAATAAGTGGTATAAATCAGATGTGGATACTTAAAACCTCCAAAGAACTTTTAGAAAATTTGAAATTATCAAAATCAATAACATTAAAACGTAGACTTTTCAACACTTGATACAACCATTCCCCACGATAAATTAAAGTTCCGGCTTTTGACATCATAGACAGCTGCTTTTTCAATAAAAATTGAACTCGTTATTAGGTCACCTGAGTCACTCAGGTGACCTATTGCTACCCGTTTTCGTCCGTCGTGCGTTGACTTTTGAACATTTTTAACTTCTTCTCCAGAACCACTCAACCAATTTCAACCAAATTTGGTATATAGCATCTATGGGTAAAGGGAAACAAAAATTGTGGATTTCATGGTCCCTGCCCTACTGGGTCCTGAGGGGTGGGGCTAAAACCACCAAAATTAATGCAATCTTTAAAAATCTTCTTCTTTACTCCTGGACATCAAGGAGTCAAACTGTTGGCATCATTGTAATAAGCATTGAGCTTTCTACCAAAATTGTGAAATTCATGGCCCCAGGGTTAGGGGTTCTGGTGCTAAGGCGGGGCATATAGATCATATAGTGAATGTGCATTATTTCTTTGAAAATCTTCTTCTCTACTCCTGGTTATTATTGAAACAAATTAAATACATAGTTATGATAAGCAAGGGTGACTCTACCAAAATTGTGAAATTCATAGCCCCAGGGTCAGAGGTTCTGGTGTTAGGGCGGGGCTATATAGATGATATAGTGAAAATGCATTATTTCTTTGAAAATCCTTTTCTCTATTCCTGGGTATTATTGAAACAAATTGAATACATAATTATGATAAGCAAGGGTGACTCTACCAAAATTGTGAAATTCATGGCCCCAGGGTCAGGGGTTCTGGTGCTAGGGCGGGGCTATACAGATCATACATGTATATTGAAAGTGTATTATTTCTTTGAAAATCTTCTTCTCTACTCCTGGTTATTATTGAAACAAATTGAATACATAGTTATGATAAGCAAGGGTGACTCTTCCAAAATAGTGATTTTCATGACCCCTGGATCAGGGGTTCTGATGTCAGGGCCGGGCTCTATTTATTATATAGTGAAAATGCATTAATGCTTTAAAAATCTTCTTCTCTGCTCCTGGGTATTTTTGAAACAAACTAAGTACATTGTTATGATAAGCAATGATGCCTCTTCCAAAATTTTGAAATTCATGGCCCCAGGGACAGGGGTTCTGGTTTTAGGGTGGGGCTATATAGATGCTATAGTGAAAGTGAATGTTTTCTTTGAAAATCTTCTCTACCCCTGGGTACTACTAGTATTTAAACAAACTAAGTACATTGTTATGATACGCAAGGATGCCTCTTCCAAAATTGTGAATTTCATGGCCCCAGGGTCAAAGGTTCTAGTGAAAAGGTTGGGGGGGGGGCTCTATTGATTATATAGTGAAAAAGCAAAATTTCTTTGAAAATATTCTGAAGCTAAGTATATAGTTATGATGAGCAAGAGTGCTTTTTCCAGAGTAGTGAATTGCATGACCTCGGGTCAGATGTGCTTGTGTAAGGGTGGGGCTCTTGATAATATATTGAAA